AGATAGATAGATAGATAGATAGATAGATAGATAGATAGATAGATAGATAGATAGATAGATAGATAGATAGATAGATAGATAGATAGATAGATAGATACTGTAGGCATTTCTAGCCTTAAATATGGTGTTATGTATTTCTTGGCCTAGATTTCAACATGTATCTTGGTATATAGTATTATGTTTCACTGGATAAAATGGGGATATTGATTCCAAAACTGGCACTTCTTTTTGTATAATGATCAAGTGTGACAGAAAGCCCCAAGACTACCAATAAAACTATTAACTTCCCTCCCCCACTCATACCAGGGCTAGAAGGACAATCCACAGTCCATAGTCTTCTGGATGTGTCGGGGCTTAAACAAGATGGAAACATCTAGAAAGGTCGGGTCACTGCAACACTGAACACTGACACTACTGTGACCCTTTCCACTTACTCAGACAGAATTAATACCATTAATGGTATTTTTTGGAGATGACTTCCTGTGATATTGTGTCCAATATTGATTAATGTTCCGCTTTTGTGTGTGTGTGTGTATAAATATATGTATAAATGGAAAAAGTCTACATTAAAAATATGTACTAAATTACTAAAATTATGTTAAACAGACTTTGACTTTAACAATTAACTCTGTTTTCAGAGAGGCTAATCACAGTTTGTTCAATCAACTCTGATTATGTTCTCTATTAGTTAGGCACATGCATGAGTGCTGCAAAAAACAGAATGCCATCCTCGATGGAAATCCAAGAGTAGAGTCGCCATTTTAAAACAATGGACTGAGGAACATGAATGTGTGTCAGTCCATATGGACATTTATCTTGAAAATATCTACTAAATTACCAACAATTTAGTAGTATTTATTTAACTATAGAAATAATTTTACAGATTTTGCAGAAAGATGCAAAGCAGCACAAATGTTTGTTTGTTTTTATCCGATACTGTAAATCTCAAATTGCTAAATAGTGGAAGATGTTTTTGTCTGTGTATGTTTGCTTCCCTTTCTGTAAAAGTCCCCCACACTATATTCAGTGTTTGCATTCAAAATACATACAGGTCTAAGCATGTCAGAGTTTTCCTAAACACCAAACTCATTTATTGTTGATGCTTCAGAATGAAAAAAGTAGGATGAAACTGAGTAAAGATAAGAATATATGTAGTGACAGCAGTTACATTAATATATTCAGTTTTCATGTTTTGTCTTTAATATTTTCAGTAAAACAGCTACAACTTTCACTGACAGCATATAATATAGTTTTGCCTTTTTCATCTGTTAATTTAGGAGTTAACACAAATTTACTCTGTCATTACAACAATTAAGTGTATTCATCCAAGAGTATAGAATGATTTTTGTCTATCACTGGTTGGTCCTGAGGTCTGAATCTGGGGAAAGCTCATGTAATCACATAGAGAAAATCATCATCAAAAACTATCAAATGTCCCTCAAAACTTAAATAAAGCTGATCCTTCCCTGTCCTGAGTTTTCTATGTTTTTTTTCTATCCACAGTTGTGCTGAGAGCTAACATGTGAACTTGTTGTTAAAAAAAAGACACAGCTTTATATAGTAAGCTATTATCTAGTATAAACTTTGAATTTAGTTGTGTTTTTTAAAAATGAAGAGCTCCAAAGATGAGATGATTGGGCAGTTTTCCGGTCCTGGTTCAATTCTGGTGCTGCATCATTATAACCTGCAGGATGACAGAGAAAAACGCATGGAGGTACTTATGTTTGGCAGCTGCATATAAATATAAAATAGACACACATTTACTTTTAAACAGCCATGACTATGAAAATTAAATGCTGACTGATCCCAGGAATTCTACTCTGCACAGTTGTTAAACAGATATACACAGGTCTCTTTGTAATGGAGGATGTCACTTTAAGAGAGACAGACTTGACCTCCTGAACTATGAATGATGAAGATGATAATGTGCTGACTTTATGCATCTACAATCTCAACAGGGTTGTCTAATAAGAACAGAGAACCTATCCACAAAATCCACTGCCACTCAGGTATCTGTCGTTCACTCATTTATTGAACAAGAATCCAAGTTACACATCCATAATGTGAGTGAGGGATTTACTGTAAAATACTGTATGCTGTGTGGTTTAGTCTCACGGACGCAGACCGCTAACAACTCATCCCTTTCCTGTTGCCATTTGTGCCATGTGTGGAGTGAAGGTAGTTAATTTCAAATGTAGTGGATCCAGAATTGATCCACCAAGGCTAGGCACTGCATCCACCTACGATGGCTCAGGAGCTCTGTTAGACCATCACTCTCCATGACAGGAACTGCCAATCAAAGCTGTCATTAATAACCAATTTTACAGCATTCAATTTAGTAATTAAAGTCAGACTTATTAGAAAGATGACTCACTGAACCTAAATCAGTGATTCTGATTCTGAGATAACTAATGCAGCTATTACAGATAACGTTACAGTGTTTAAAATGGTCACCACTGAATGTCAGTAGATTTCAGATTGCAGGTCCCTGAGTTCTGTTTTCTCAGACCCCACCGTACACACTAGAGGGTGGAGGGTCCTACCATCAATACCCCTTACAATGGTACGGCAGTCCACTAGGTTGTACTGCATGCCTTTATGGTGGGACCAGCTGCTGCTGAAGTGGATCTGGAACCAGGCAGGGACATGAAGTATGACAGGATCTCTGGGAGAGTGCGTTTACACTTTGCTGGTTTTTCCCTAGGTCGAAGCACCACCTGGGAGTCTTCCACTTCCAGCTTCTCTAACCAGTGGCAGAGATTATACAATCCCAATCAAAAGTTTAAAACAACTTGAAAAATGGAAAAAGTCATATTTTGCGTGGCTGGATCCCAGTGTTGGGACTAACGCGTTATTAAGTAACGCGTTACAGTAACTACGTTATTTTTGTGGTAACGAGCACGGTAACTAGTTATTATGCCAAAATCAGGAACGTGTTAGTCGTTACTGGGATTTAGATAGGGTCGTTACTCGTTACTTCGTGTGGTGGCTATCGCGGAGCTTCCACAGATTCAGTAACATTAGCAAGTGGTGGAGGCAGCAGGTGGATGAAGGAAAGGGGACGCAGAAGGAAAAGAGACCCGAGGCGGCCGCCGGTCCAAGTGTGAACTGAACTTCAGGTAAGAAGTTATGACCTGCAGTCTCTCTGGGTCAGATATGAACCAAGTTTAGGTGGAGTTTATTTTCGTTATTCTGACTTTTTCCGTACTGCGTGCTAGCTAGCATGACGGAGTTTCTATACAGCTGGGTGGGTGCTATGAAGTTAATGATGTTGAACTTTATTTTGTTCATAAGTTATTAGAGTTGCCAACCGTCCCGTCTGGTATTCAGAGAAAATATTACGCGTTTCTTATTATTGAGGTGAAAAGGAACAGTTTGTCCCGTAATTCAGCTACAATGAAAAAGGCACAAAGCTGGAGTTATTCTGTGTTTACGCTGCACAGCTGCCTCTTCTTCTCTAATTCTCCCCCCTCCCTCTCCTGTTTCTACTTCAATCATGAAAACTGATCAATGATCAGCTGATCGGCTCTCTTGTTTATCGCTCACTTTGCGCCGAAAGAGGAAACCAGCGGATGTCGCGCTAAACAACAGCAGCACGTTTAAGCTTGATCAGCTGTTGTTAGAATTTATTTAATATTAATTTCTAGTATCAGCTGATGTTTGCTGGAGCCACAGCTGCAAAAAAGCTGCTGGTCATGATGTCGGTTTGGTTATCTGGTGAGAGGGAAACATGAAGATGAAACCAGGAGATGTCCTTACTGGATCATCAGAGCTGTGATGGAGAAACAGGTTTACCTTTTAGGTGACATGAATGAGTTGAAGGGAAGTTATGAACTGTTTCTGAGAGACAAATAACCCCAGGATCCTTTTTTAGGTAGCTGACAGCTGGTAACTGTGCAGGTGCGGATCTAGCAAAGTGTTGCCAGGGGGGCATGTAGGGCATTAACAGGGAGAGGGGGGCACAAGGAAATACTTTTCTTTCTTATTCTCATTTAAAATGTCTAGCTTTTAAAAAATAATTATCTGAATCTTACAACAAACGATTGATAGATTGATGCATAAATACCATCAAAACAGTGTACATCACTGTCACAACAGTGTTTTCATTCAAAGGCTTTAAGATTGTTCCTATAATGGTGGGCCAGTCTCTAGTCAAAATACCCGGGCCAATTTTCTGTCCCAGTCCAGCCCTGTATGCAGCTCATCTGCAGTCTGGTGTTGCCTACATCTTCCTACTCAGAAGGCAGAATTTCAGAGTTCTGAGTACAATCGAAAGCACCACGACTGCAGTTTTTGTGTTGGATGTAAAAGGCGCACATGACTCTGTGACGTAGGCTAGAATCATGGCAACAGTCAACGACGGTCCAGGTGTGGGATTTCTCTCGTGGAAATATGCACATTATCTTTTCCTTTCTATTGGTAGGTGGCACAGTGCACTTGTGGCAAGTAAGCAAGCTAGAAGACTGGCAAAGTTATGGAAGCAACACATTAACAAGAGAATTCTGAGTAAAACCAAAGTTACTTTCCCTAGTAACTAGTTACTTTGAAAGTAACGAGTAACTTGAAGTAACTGAGTTACTTTTGAGAGAAGTAACTAGTAATGTAACTAAGTTACTATTTTAAAGTA